CGGATTCAGCCTTCTGGAACGTCTCCGCCGCCGTCCACCGCCATCCGCCGCCGATTTGAGGTCTGTTACTTGTGGCTGGAGGTTGCTCGCCACTGAGAAGGCTCGCTGGAGCTTTAAATGCCCAAACCCGTCCGCCGTTCGTTGATTCCAAAGCTCATGGGTCGTTTGCCGCTAGAGCCGTCGCCGGAGGTTTGTCCTGCTCTTTGTCGTCAATTGAAGTCACTGGAGGTCGCTGCTGAAGCCGGATGTCCTGGTCTTCGCATGGCCATCCAGTTCGCAATTAGCTCGTCACTTAGGAGTCGCCGCCCGTCACTCTTGTCAGAGCTCGTCGCTGGAGGCCGAGTTTTGTCGATGTCCTTTCGTTGGTCGCAGAAAGTTGGAGTCTGTACTTGAAGCTGGAGCCTGGTCCGCCTCGATCTGCAGAACGCGCAGGAGCACAACAAGTTGACTTCACGAGAAGTTAATTTGACGGATTTGGGCCGGAGGTGTTGCTAATGGGCCTGAAAGCTTGAACGTTGAAGACGCTGGACGTAAATCTCTCGCGCAGAAGTTTGGAACAGAGGTCTGGCAGCAAGGCTTGAAGCAGAAGCTGGTTCGCTGAAGGAAGGTTGGAAGCGTGCTGCTGGACTGCTAAAGCTTCTGGACTTGGGCTGGAAATTGGATTGGTCAACTGGTCAACCGGTCAGCGCAGGTCAACCGTAGTCAACACTCAGTCATTAGTCCAAAAATCTCAATTTTTTGAATTGGGTGGGTAAGGTCCAAACACTCTCCTAGTGTTTGGCTGTTGTAAGTCTTCTTTATCCGAAATTTCAGTTTTTGCTTTTCATTTATTTTAAATTGTTAGATTTATTGTTGTTTTAATATTTGCTAGAATTATATTTATTTGTGCTTGTACGGAAGAATAAGGGATTTGAACGGAGTCTTGTGCTCATTGTTATTCCCGGCTTATTCGCGCTAGTTGCTCCGTACAATTATAGCCCTATAAATATTGAACTCGTTTTCTAGCTAAAGTTGCATTTTATATTTTCTTGTTTAGTTTTTTTTGTGTGAAAATGTCTGCATTTTATCAGTACGGAATGACTCCATTTAATGGAAAAACTGATTTTGGTATTTGGAAACAAAAAATAAAGTGCATATTAATTCAACAAAAATCATATAGGGCCATTAGTGAGACCTATTTGGCTTCCGATACAGAAGAGAAAAAAGTAGAAATGAATGAAAATGCTTGTTCTACAATTTACTTGAGCTTATCTGATTGTGTGCTCAGAAAAGTAGGAATTTTAGAATCAGCTAAATCTGTGTGGAATAAACTTGAAGAGCTTTATAATGTAACCTCTTTGCCTAACCGGATGTTTTTACTTGAGAAGTTCTTCAAATTTAGACTAGATATGTCTAAGGATATTGAAGAAAATCTAGATGTTTTTACCAAACTTATTTCGGATATTAAGTTGTGTGGTGATAAGCATATAGATAGATGATTATTCCCCTATTGCTCTTTTAAATGCTATTACTGATTCCTTTGGTGATGTGAAATCTACTATTAAGTATGGTAGAGATATAATGTGATTCTTGACATTGTGGTAAATGGTCTTAAGAGTAAGGAATTAGATTTAAAACAGATGGGTGAGGGTAGAAAATCCGATGAGGTTATGAATGTGAGGGGTATAGATAATAGTAGACGACATAGATCTAAGTCTAGCTCTAATTCGAGGCATTGCTATTATTGTCATGAACCTGGTCACTACATAAGAGACTCTCCTAAATCTAGGAAAAATGAGCATAGTGAGCATGCTAATTTGACTACGTGTGATGATGATTTAGGTGATGTTTTTATGATGAGTAATCTATGTGATTTTGACTACTTGAGTTCTGTGATATCTGATTCTTTGGGTAAATCAGATTGGGTGGTAGATTCTGGTTGTACTTTTCATATGTCCCCTTTGAAAAATGTTTTTTCAAACTATAGAGAGATTGAACATGACTTTGTGTCTTTAGCAAATGAGAAGAAATGCAATGTGCTAGGAATATGAGATGTATGCCTTAGGTTCTCTTCTGGTTATGTGCTTACTTTGAAGAATGTTAGACATGTTCATGTGCTGTGTTGTAATTTGCTATCTTGTGCTTCTCTTGAAAATGAGGGTTTGAAGGGAAAGTGGGGAAAGGGAATCATGAAAGTTGTGAAGGGTTGTTTAGTTGTTTTCAAAGCTGAGATGAAAAACAACTTGTATGTTTGTCATGCTGAACCCGTACTTGATTCTGTGAATTGTGTGCAACCCTGTGTGCTAGGAAAACAGTCTAGAGTTAGTTTTCCCGATCTGCCTAAGTCTACTGATGTGCTTGATTGTATTCATGCTGATATGTGTGGTCCTTATAGTGTTTCCACTCATGGTGGGGAAAAAAATTTTCTGACATTGATTGATGATTTTTCAAAGAAAGTGTGGGGTTTGTTGATTGAGAATAAATATGAAGTTTTTGATAAGTTTAAAAACTGAAAACCCTTGTTGAAAAACAAACCGGTAAGAAAATAAATTTTTTAAGGACCACTGTCAGTTTTGATTTTTGTGATAATCAGCTTGGTGATTTTTGTGATACTTGGGGTATTTCTATGCATAAATATGTTCCCTCCACACCCCAACCAAATGGGGTTGCTGAGTGGATGGTCAGAACTTTATTAGAGAGGGTGAGGGCTATGTTAGATTCATCTGGGCTCTCTAATAAGTTCTGGGGGAAGCTATTTGTTATGCTGTTGATTTGGTTAATCTGTCCCCGTCTGTTCCCTTAGGGGGGAAATGCCCTGAATCTGTGTTCATGGGCAAACCGCTTGACTTGCCAAATTTGAGAGTGTTTGGTTGTGCTGCTTATGTGAATCGTGAGAATGATAAATCTGAACCTAGGACTAAGGAATATGTTTTCTTAGGATATCATGAAAGGTTATAGGCTTTGGTGTTGGAGTGAAACTTGCTTCAATGTGTAGATGAGTAGAAATGTCATTTTTACTGAAAATGTAACTTAGTTTGTGCATTAGTTCCTGCTTCAACCCAACCGAATTATATGATCATCTTTTCAATAAATAACTATTACATTAATTACATACATGTATTTTTGTATGCCTCCAAATGATGTTGCTCCAAATGAGGTGGAGCATTTGTCTGTTGAAGTTCATTCTGATTTACTTGAAACCGAGCTCAAATTTGTGGATGAAAATGATTTTCATGGTGAAAATAAAGAAAATAATATTTCTATTAAGGTGGAGCATGGTATGAATGTTGTGTGCAATATGCTTAAGTTGCGTGATTGCCATGTTATTAGAGATAGAGACATTAGGGAGCATGAGAGAAATGATATGTGCAAAGTGTTTGACTATATTTTGTTGGGCCTGCCGTGGGTCTGCGGTCAGCAATCTGCCAGCCTGCCGGTGCAATCGGACCGCGTGGCGCTTTGCCTGTTCTATAAAAGGGGGAAGGGCGTGCTACACTATCAGCGATTGCTTTTAGTGTAGCGGTAAGCGCAACGATCCACAATTGGTATCAGAGCCAAAGGTCACGGGTTCGACCCCCGGCAACAGCATGCTGCTCAGTTGTAGGCTGGCAGGTGCTGGGGGGGAGATTGTTGGGCCTGCCGCGGGTCTGCGGTTAGCAATCTGCCAGCCTGCCGGTGCAATCGGACCGCGTGGCGCTTTGCCTGTTCTATAAAAGGGGGAAGGGCGTGCTACACTATCAGCGATTGCTTTTAGTGTAGCGGTAAGCGCAACGATCCACATATTTCCTCTGAGTTTGCTTTAAATGTGCTTAATTCTCTTTTAATTAAAATCTTTGTGATATTTGGTATGCTATTTTCTTTGTGTTTTGAAAATGTGATACCATGTGATTATGTGAGCTCTACCTTTGCTAGTTATAGAAATAATATTATTTCTTTTATTTTTTTTGTACTTGCCTTATGTGGTTGTTGGATTGGTTGGAATCCCCAACTTCTCCCGGATGCTTGCTTGCGTGGTCTATTAACATGTGTTGTGCTTGTTAATAGTTTTGTGATGGTTTTGGTTCTGAACTCGAGGACCGATTGATAGAATTCAGTCCATCATGAATTGGGTTTGCATGGTAAGCTTGGTCCGAAAGGGAACTTTGGTTCTCATCTATTACTTGTATGATCGTAATGATGTCCTTGTAATGGTTCAGCGATGATGAGTCTCCTCACAACCGTGTATTTGTTACTCTACACCACCTAGGACCAATAAGGTGGAGAATGTTGGAGGTATTGGTCTTATCAAGGCCTCCCCTTCCACTTATTATGTTAAAGCCTGCACCCTATGTTTAGTCCCTCTCTTTTATCTCACTGTGAATTTACTGCCTGTCTAATTATTTTGAGAGTTCCTCCTTAATAATTCAGCCAACACCCTTTGACTTATTATTTGTCTACTGCCAAAATATTGGGCTCCCCTTTCCTTTGTCCATGTATCCGCGACTTCAATTATAGAGGCTGCCTATAATAACCTTTGAGCTTCTTCTTTGAGAGTAAGGAGTGAAGACACCTTCCTTTCCTCTTGGTGAGTGAGAGTGTTTGTGAGTGAGCAGTGAGGTGTGTGTGTGGAGCGTAGAGAGATACTTCACCTAAACCAGTCTTCTTCCTCTCTGAGCTCATGTTGGCGAGGCTAGAAAGGTGTGTTGCTCCCTTAGCCTAGGTGTGCACAAGAGACAACCGGAAAACCGAAGTCCGGACTGCCTGAGCCGGAATTGATCCTCAACATCTATTTTAGGAAAATAAATAACATATTGCTATTTGTGCATTTAAGGATTACTTCAGTCCTATTTAGGACTATCAGTATTTTCTCAAAAATTAATACTCCATAAATGATAAGAAGATAATAGTCCAATATCACCTATTACCTATCTAAAAACTTATAAACATCAATGAGGGTTAGTACCCTTATGGGAATGAAATTGTGTTGGTGTAACATTGTAGCTATATATGCTTATACATTATGGTAAAGGTTTAGTACAATGGCTATTTGTTCAGTGCACTACCCGCGCCTTCCGTTAACTAAATCCACTGTTTACTTACGCCATCTCCTCCGTGTTTATTCTTTACGCATCTCCGTCTTGGTTTCACTTCCAAATCCCTAATCTATCTATTCATACACAGGGCAAATGTGTTTTCGATGGAGACGAGTGCTTCCCAGAGCACTTAAGCCATGTTTTTCACTGAGAAACATATAGCTTCCTGATTCGCATAGCAGCAGGCAGCAGCACCCTGAATCACTTCTATCTTCCTTGATCCGTTTCTTTTTTTTGTGTCTGTGTTATTCGATTTGCCGTCCAATTGTGTTATTCGATTTGCCATCCAATTTTATTTTATTTTATGTGTTTCTATCTTGTTCGATTCACCATTCATCCTAATTGAAGTTGTGAATAATTAATGCTCACCTTCCTTGATTTGCAGGTGCTCCCCCTCAACAGTTGTGAGACCCGAGAGGGCGTGATAACTGATAAGTGTCTTGGTTAAAGATCAGTTGGTAGGGATTGGCTAAAGAAATCTCCCAATTCTTGTATGTCACCTCAATAATTTTTGTCACCTGGTATTTCCCTTATGCATTACAAGCATTTTAATTGCTTAGCTGTTATTACTTTATTAAATTTCTCTGGAAGTAAAGAAGGATCATTGTACTAATGTTATTGGTATCAACGGTTCACTTTAATAGTTTAACTCTATACACTTTAATTTCACTAGGCTTCGTTTTTTTCATTGATTAAATAAGACATATCGGTTGGACTGGATGCTTAGAAGTTCATGTTACTTTTACAGTTTATCAATGAGTTCCTTTGGCCTTACTGCTAATGCACTTCTTTATCATATAGCTTTATGCCAATGACAGCGTTTTAAGAACTCTCTGCTATGTTCACTATAAGTAATGGATTTTCAACTTCCAAATCAAACAACACTGCTTTTATGTGATATAGTAACACAACCTTTATTTTACTGTCCCATAGTGAATTTTCTTTCATCCAATCCTTTCACTTTATCAGGAAACGAAGCTTCATGCTCACAAAATCTGTTGAGAAATCATCAGATGATTGTAATTAATAAGTCTTATTTGAACTAAAGTAGTAAAGGATAAAACATGTAGCTTGATGTTGAAAGCTCACTTTAGATGATAGTAATAATAAGATAAAGGGATAGGAAGGATAAAGGGAGAAATCTCATTCAACTGCAATAGGCTATTGATGGTATTTTGGCAAGGGAGTGGGTCCTATTTTCTAGGAAATGAATGAGATGACCCTTTTTTCTTTCTTACGCAAGTTATCCTTTCTCCTTCTATTGTTCTCAGGCTTTCTTCTCTTACGAAGTATTTTATTTATTAAGCTATATGATAAATGCATTCAACTGAATAGCCTTAAAGAAATATTTAAAAACATACTTGTATTCAAATGGTCAACTGAATAGCCTTAAATGGTCAACTGAATAGCCTTAAAGAAATCTTTCTAATTGTTTTTGCCGTTGCAGCTATATGTAATGCATTCAAATGTATTCATTCATTCCTAAAAACAAATCTGCTTAATAAAAAATAGAAAGGATTAGTTGTAGCCTTGTAGGTAAATTTTCTTGCCTCAATTGGTTCAGAGTTGTATGTATTACCCTTTTGGGAACTGTATCTAATATTCTAATATTCCATCGGGCGTTAACATAAAGAGTTTTAATCTGCCTTAGCTTTCATAAGTGTGAAATTTTTATCATTCTGTTTTTGTTAATTAATTGGTAAAACAACTAAACTGATTGTGATCCATGGTAGTTTTTATATGGGTTATCCTATGTGCTTTCATCTTTTGCAGCTTGTTCTATTTTTATTCCAAAATCTTTTGGGAATAATGTTTGGATGTTGATGTTGTAATACTTCAATGTATGGATTACAGACTTACATTGATGCTATTGATACTGAGACCAACAAGTCAGTTGGGTAAGTGTCCCAGGGAAAATGCTAATGACAAATATTGTTAAGATGGGTAAACTGCAAAATAAGGCTCCACATGTTCCAAGTAGTGAATCATCGCAACCGGTCAGTGCCAGACACAACTTTGCTCCGAGGCCGCCATCTGGAGCTCAACATGATGACTGGCCTTTGATTCAGCAGCCATCAGCTACTGGTAAAAGTTATTTATATCAGATCCTCTCACTTCACAACTGCACCCGAATTTGTCTAATATGGACTTGAATAGAAGTAAAACAACAGTCACAGTTAGATGAGGTTCCGGAAGCAATAGAAAGTGGCATTAATGGTGACAGTCCCGTGGTGCCCGGGTTTCTTCATGATAGGAAATTGCTGGAGGATACTTCTGGAGGTGCAGACAGTGACCATGGTAGATACCAGCATCCACTTTATCATGGTGTTGATGAAAGCGAAAGTGAGTTTATGTGTGCTAATTTCTTTAGAGGTTTATAATTAAACACCAAGAAAAAATGGCAAACCCAACATTTGTGCTTGTAAGATAAGACAGATAACGAGGGAACTTGCTAAGCTCCGAATTTTGATTATGGGCCCGGGTGGCAGGACAAATCTTCTATGCCGCCGTCCCCCTAAGCAGTTCACTGCCAAAATCCTGAGGAGTTAATCACCTTGTCCAACGAACTATACTAGATTTCACTAATAAATAGGGATCTTTTTCAACTTTCAATCAATGATGTACTTTTAGACCTTAGTCACAATTTATTAATTTCGTTTAAATTAAAGTGAAGACACACACACATACCACATTTAAATAAAAGTAAATATATTTACTTTAAGAAATACTCTACTAAATTGTATTGGGCATTTAGCCCATCGCGCAACGCGCGTAACACCAACTAGTATGATAAAAAACAACAATCCAAAGATAATAGATCGATCGGCACAGACTACTGAATTAAACAAAATTGTTGATTCCACTTATTACTATCTTATCACAATTGCGATTGGAAATAAGCCGAAACCTCAAAAAGCCAAAAAATAATACGAAGTACATACCGCATTATCCAGGTGTTTGAAATTAATTCTACTTCTTTTGTTACAAGAAGCAGTAGAATCAAATCAATTTTCAGAAGTCGGTCTCCCCAACTTTTAAAAACTGCTTCTAGAAGCATTTTGGAACCCTTAAAATTACTTTTGCATTTTCACTCAAACACTCCAATATGTGTTTCTGCTATCTGAATGAGTAGAAACAGTTTTAAGAAGCAGATCCAAATGCCCCCATATATATCAAAAACTTCAATCGTAAATGATTAGTACGATTGAAAAATAAAACGAAACTTTCGTTTAAAACTAAATCGTTTCATTTAACCATTAACTACTGATTCAATATATTAGCAACGAATTGCATAAATGCAAAATCCGTATTACCCTTATTCCATTCAATATGAAAGAAACTCTGAAGCCAATTGTAGGTATAAATCCATCAAGTCTTTAATCTTCATATTGGATTATATTGAGAAATAATTGAGTGGAAGCATATCTGACTCCATTGGAGACAATATTTCAAATACAAGCAACAGAGGCAAGAGTTTGTGCATTCTAATTGATACACACCGTCGAAAATTATTTCTTTAGCGATGAGATACAGAAAGATGAAATGATGTGTTCAACTAGTGATCATAACTCCTTCATTTATATAGAATGCTTAACCATAATCAGTCCATCATTAATTAAGTGGGAAATAGTTAAATAAAGTCATCTTTTTTTAACCCAGTAAGGGTCCATCTAAATCGGTGGGGTAAATGATAGGAAACATTTACCAGATTTTATTAAGAGTTGGTGGGAGGATTACATCAAGGGGACCAAACCTTAGCGGTTGAGATAAAAAATGCGAAAATAAGGGAGACCAAGATGATTTGTACTTCCTCCGTTCTTGAATAAGTGTAACGGTCAACATTTCACACTTGTCGAGACACAACTTTGACCATTAATATATATAATTCTTTATTAATAAAAAAATTAAAAAAAAATAGATTTTGAAAATTTACAAATGAAAAAAATTTAACAATATTTTTTTCAAGAAATTTCTCCACCTTCAAAAAAAAAGTTCTTGGATGAGAGATAAAACTCACTGAGAATCAATTTCAACCTCAAAACCGAAATAGCCCATCTCACGGCATGTAGAGGTGAATCAACAAGGATCCTGAAGCTGATAGCAAAAATCATCTCACCCTGAGCATCTCTCAACAGCGCCCCACCTGAAGAGAAACCAAGTATATGTGCAGCATCAATATTTAGCTTAATAGTGTGGGGCCTCATCCATTTTATCAATTTTATTCTTCTCTGTTGTTTCCTGAAGCACGGATCAAGTAGCTCTTCTTCTCGAAGCAACTCAAATCCCTGATTGTTCTTCATTGTTTTGAGAGTATTTGACCAGTACTGTGTATAGTGTTTTATTTGGAAAATCAAATTGTTAACTGCAAGTACCGTTCGTCTCGTCCCCCAAATCAGTTCAGCCTAAATCTTCCAAATATGCCAGAGGATAATACCAGGCATATTGTGTTTGAAAACATCAAGAAGGGAGCTACTGCCGCCTCAAGCCACCAGGTAATCAACAATTGTCGTATTGAGTCTCCCCTTACCATGTTTATATCAAATATATGGCTGAAATATTTCCAAACTCCATGTATCTTTGGACATGCATAAAAAAACATGATAAATCTCTTCATTGTTCTGTTGCACATGGGACACATCGTTAGAAATATTATGACAACTTCACGTGAAAAGATGTACTCTATAAAATGTCAAATAAATACGTCTATTTATAAAAAATAATCGGACGAAGTCTACTTAGGGGTGGAAGTAGGCCACACGGCCTGCTAGGGGCCTATGGCCTGACCCGTTAAAAGCCTGGCTTGACCTGTTTAGTAATCAAACTAAGCTTGAGCTTTTCAAAAAATCTGTTTATCTAAATAGGTCAGGCCTAGCCCTACTCTCAAGCCGGCCTATTTATATGTGTACATATGTGTGTATATATTTACTTATATTTATATTTATTTATATTATTTACATTTATATTTATATTGGTATACTTAAATATAACAAATTCGGCATAATAGTATTTTTATGGAGTGTGTATTATAAATTAGAATAGAATACTATTTTAAATATATATTAAGTGTGTTAATAGTTTATTAAGGTAATTGAAATTCAAAGTTTTTCAAGATTTGAATTATATAGAAATTTATTTTCACTACATAATAATGTATTATTAGACATCCAAAGCAAAACTAACGTATTATTAGCTTTTTTAGTGAATATTTTGGGAAATAATTTTATACCGGGTTAAAATGATTTTTCACTTTTTATTTTTTATTTTTTTGAAATTTTGTTTTTTTTCTTAGCAGGCCCAGTACTACATAATAATGTATTACTCCGTATTAGACATCCAAAGCAAAACTAACGTATTATTAGATTTTTTAGTGAATATTTTGGGAAATAAATTTTATACCGGGTTAAAATGATTTTTCACTTTTTATTTTTTATTTTTTTGAAATTTTATTTTTTTCTTAGCAGGCCCAGTAAACAGGATTCAGGCGAGGCAAGACTTTTAAATAGGTCAGACTCAGGCTGAAAAACCAGGCCTTTAACAAGTAACAGGCCAGGCTCAAGCCTATACATTCTAAAACAGGCCCGACGTGCTCAGGCCTACCAGCCGATTGTCAACCTCATAATCCCGATTTTAGCGTATTTTGACTATTTTAAAATAGATCGTAAGGCTATGTGGAATATTTAGCTAAGATTGGCTGAAATACAAGGTAAAATAACGACACCTAAGCTAAAATCGGGTTGTCTACAACTCTACGAGTGGTTAGGACTCATCTGATTAGTTCTTATAAGTAGACGTATTTATATGACACTTTATTGAACACAGGACCTTATGTGATGATTTTGTAATAGTAGAAGATCTTATTTGACCATTTTCTCTTAATTAGGATTAAGTCCTTTAGTTTCTACACATTTGAGTCATATACTCTATAAGACAACATATTAGCCCATTAAAATTAATATCCATAAGACCACTAACATTTTTTGGAACTAAACATAAGATTGCATAAAACATACAATTAACCCAAAATTTTACATTAAGAAATCTAAATAAATCATAAACATATATCATTTTCCATTTGCATTTCCTAAAATAAAACTAAATACGGAGTATATGACAATAAATTTTCATAGCAACTATGTTCCTTTCCCTAGCATTTTTAGGGACATAACATATATCCTAAAGATTTCAATTAGAGGTCTAAGAAATGTATTCCCAATGAGAAGATACGTGCACTTTGTCGTGGTATATATGCACTCAAAATAATATTCAATACAACAATTATACGTAGTATAATGAAGTAACGTTCATATCCACAGGGAAATGAACACTTCTCTTTTTATAGAAATAAATAAGTAATAACAGGGGAGTTTTATGTTTGGTTGATGAACTAAAATTATATTTAAGTACGAAGATGAACGAGTTATGTGGTTTAATTAATAAGAAGGAGACTTGGTTTTGCTTTTATCCACTTAATGAAATGTTCGTCGATCCCAGTTATATCTTTAACTATCTTCCTCTCGAATACTCAATCGAGGAGTATATCCAATTCATCGAGGGTAGTTATTAATAACGAGACACGTTCATTAATAAAACTTACTACCGAGTTTATATAGAACACGCGCCATATATTCACTCGATAGTAGCAATAAAATCAAGATGAAAATGATTGAGATTGATAACCTCAAAACAAGCGGTTTATTGGTTTAAATCAATATAATTAATTCCCCTTGGTTTATTAACCATGAAACGCATGCATTAATAACCCAAGTTTACTACAGCGAAAAGACCGAATTAATAACAAGCGTATTAATCGACCGATTCTAGTAATAATTAATATATGAAACAAAACTAGTTGATCCTTTAAGTAATGTTCAAAATATTAATATGAAATATGAATAGGAAATAATTAATATTCAAGAAAGAATATTAAAAAAGATGAATCCTACTATAGTTAATATCAGATGTTAACTAATTGTCATCTTAGTAACACTCCCCAATATTAACATAGAGGAAGAAATATCTATTACTATAACTAATGTCAAGATGTTAACTAATTGTCATCTTAGTAACACTCCCCAACATTGATATAGAAATAGTATTTAAAGGAAGAAGTAATATTTAAGGAAGAAGATTAAAGAGAATAACTCACAACTTACAAATTAATTAAGCTTCAAAGTAGCAAAACCAAGATGGAAGAGTTTAGCTCCTCATTTGGAGACTAAACATGAAAAAAATATAAAGAAAACACTAATCTAAACTGAGCTAGAGAGTATATGTGAATTGGTCATTTTATTGTGAAGGAAAAGGGTGTATTTATAGGCTTTTGGGAGCTGCAGGGTCTGATACCCGACCGGGTATATAGGATACCCGACCGAGTATCTCAAGAAATTGCCCAGAAAGTCATTTTTCTGGGCATACCCGATCGGGTAAGGGTATATACCCGATCGGGTATGTGACAAATCTTTATGAAAATTTGCTCCCACGATCATTTGTCTTCGGATTTGATTTGGACAGTTGAATCAAGCAATTACCCGATCGGGTATAGGCAAAACCCGACCGGGTACATGAGTATTTTTTCCAAATCGAAATCTTTCTTGTCTCCTTGCACTTTCCTTGATCTTTTAAGATCCAATCTTGATCCATCTTTGACCTGTTTAGCTTAGAAAAATCCTAATCTAACTAAATTACAAATAAAAATGAAAATAAAGTATTACACCAAAAGTGTGTAATTTCCACAACTAGAACTAATAAAAACTAGTTAAAAATACAAAAATACACTCGGAAATTACACGAATATCAACTCCCCCACACTTAGCTTCTTTACTCGTCCTCGAGTAAAGTCAAATGTTTAACAGTTCCAAGTCTTCAAGAGTTCAACAGTCAACAAGAAAAAACAAAAGACCACCAAGAATAAAACATCTTCTTGGGTTTCATGGTCTTCTCTGCTCATCTCTTTTCTTCTCCCATTTTCATGTTCAAGAGATTAAATGATGTCCTGTAAAAACAAATATATCTCTCATATCTCTCATCTTGCCTAGGAGCCTTTTCAGATTTTCATCCTAGCATCCCTTTTTATTTTTCCATCCTTTCCACTCACTCAATTTTTTTATAAGCCATTTTTGCTTAGATTGCCCGTTCTGGGTTTTCAACCTAAGTAGCGTTTTTTTTTAAGAAGATAATGCTAGTTTACAAGGTATGAAACATAACTACGTACCAATGAGTGACTCTCCCTCACTTAGCTCGAAGCACTGACCCTAGTGCTCGCTGATAGAGTATATGGGCCTGGACCCCACGGCCGCATACGCAAGTCAACGGCGACCAGAAGAACACCCACGTGGCCCCTTCGGCCAGTGGGTCCGCATCGGCCAGAGACCAGACCGGCCCAGGAATCGCATCCGGACTCTCGAGGGCCGCATCGGCCCATGGGCGGCATCGGCCATGAGACCGCATCGGCCAAAAGGCGCCGCATCGGCCAGAGTTCGTCCTGGCAGAATGCATCTCTCTACTTTATTTGTTAAGTATTTGTACACAGCCCATTAGAGGCCCTATTTCGCCCAAAAGAGGCATGATTATTGTAATGGGCCTCCTAAGCCCATGGCTAGGGGCCCAAATCCACATTTTTATCTATAAATAGACCCCTTGGGGCTAGTTATAGGGGGTTGAGAAATACAATTACTCACTTTCTCTCTCTAGCTCTCACTTCTCTCTAGAATTAATACTCTATCATTTGGTGCTTTCATTGAGAGTCAGAACAGATCAAGTGAGTACCCCTCGTCGCTACTAGACGCAACAGAATGACAAGAACTAGGTCAAAGAACACTGGTAGGAATGCCCCACTGAACCAGGAAGGGCAGGGAAACGTTGCTGATAACGTCCCCAATGATCCTATCATCCAGGATGAGGACGCTCAGGAGGTCGAGCACGCAGCGGCCGACCTTCGCGTCCAACTCAACAAGACTGCCCCAGACGCCCGCATCGGGCTCGAGGACAGGCGCAATGCTGATCGCGCTTCGGGTCAGCAGGCTTCGCACCCTGCTGCCCCCCAGATCAACCCGGCCGCACTCTCGGCCATCGTCGCAAGCATTCTCCAGGACCCCAACGTCGTCAGCGCCCTCATCGCAAAGACAGGGGAGAACAACACTCCCGTGACTGGGGAAGTCGCGACGGTGCCACCGCCGCCGCCTCGGCCACAGGGCGTCACCTTCTTCGGCAACGACGAAGGCATCCTCGCCGTGGACACCCATTCCCATACTGCCTCTCCTACCCGGGATACACTGGCCCAACCTCGCGGTAAAATCTCGGCCTTCAACAGGCTGGGTGACATCGCGAGCCGTCGGGTACCTACGGGAAGGGTGGCGGATCGGTTGGGTAACCACGAGCCGGGGTCGCCAAAGGAAAGCTTCGGGTCCGTCTCCCGGACAACGGATCGGCCCCGACCAGATAAAGGCAAAGGAAAACTGAATGATGATGATGCGCGTCATCAGATCAACCTGGCCCACGCGGCCCGGATCCAGACCCCGCTGGGTGGCGCTGCGGCCAACACGGACCCAAGGGACGAGATCATCGCCCGCTTGGAGAAGCGCCTCGCTGACATGGAGGCCCGAGAAGCTGCAGGGCGCGCATCGGCCCACACATCCCAGCATCCCAACTACGACGCGCTCTTGAGCAAGGTCAGTGCTCTGGAAAGGGAGTTGGCTGACCGGCGCGACGAGCCCGTCATCCA